ACACTGAGCATGATTAAAGAGTTCTTTGCATCATGAAATGGTTCTTCATACTGATGTACAATGTGCTGTAGATGGTTCTAAATAGAACCTTTTTGAGAAGGGTTCTCTATAGCACAAAAAGGGTCCTTCTATTGTTTTTTTTGTCAAGCTTGTCACAATAGGAGAATCCTTTTGGGAGCTGTATAGAACCATATACAACACATTCTCCATCAGTCTGAAGAACCATTTCACCATGCAGAGAACAATTTAAGCATGCAAAATAGTTTGTGTTCATGGTTCTGTATAGAACCACTGTCTTTACTAAATAACCTTTGAAGAACTCAAGATCTTTTTGAACACTCAAAGAACCCTTTGCATGATTAAATGCATCATGAAATGGTTTCCAGATTGATGGAGAATGTGCTGTAGATGGTTCTTTATAGAACCTTTTTGAAGAGGGTTCTATATAGCATCTTCTGTTGTTACAAGCTCATATTGTAACAATGGTAGAACCATTTTTGGTGCTATATAGACCCATTCCACCTTAACATGCAAATGGTGCATGATTAAAGGGTTCTTTGCATCATGAAATGGTTCTTCAGATTAATGGGGAACGTGCTATAGAGGATTCTATATAGAACTTTTTCTTAAAGGGTTCTTCTACTGTTGTGATGTCAAGCTTGTCACAACTGAAGAACCCTTTTAGGTGCTGGATAGAACCATATACAACACATTCTGCATTAATCTGAAGAACATTTTCATGATGCAAAGAACCCTTTAACCATGCAGCGGGTTCTTTGAGTGTTCTTGGCTTTATATAGAACCATTTTCTATACTAAAGAACCTTTGAAGGACCATCTTTTTAGGAGTGAAAGGCTTAATTATATTGGGGATTTGAATATCTGTTGGGAACACAGAGAGCCGTTCCGACTAAATGGCCTCAATCTAAACAGAACCGGTGTGCAAGTTCTCTAACAGATGGCTTTCTGATGCTGTTGACAGGGTTCTTCAAGGGTGTTTAGTAAAGAAAATGGTTCTATATAAAACCAAGAAATCTCAAAGAATCCTTTGCATGGTTAAATGGTTCTTTGCATCATGAACGGGTTCTTCAGATTGATGGAGAATGTGCTGTATGTAGAATGGATCTATATAGAACGTTTATGAAGAGGGTTCTACATAGCATGAAAAATGGTTCTTTTATTGTTACAAGCTCATATTGTAACAATAGTAGAACCCTTTTTGGTGTCATATAGAACCATTCCACCTTAACATGCACACTGTACATGATAAAAGGGTTGTTTGCAGCATTAAATGGTTCTTCAGATTAATGGAGAATGTGCTGTAGATTTGAAACGAGTTCTATATATCATCAAAAAGGGTTCTACCATTGTTAGAATATGAGCTTTTAACAATAGTAGAACTGTTTTTCTGGAGTGAAGGAGAACGAGAATCAAGCAGCCGTCCACATTACAGTGTATATTAAAGCAATGAGCCTCAAAAAGCCGTACATTACTGTGATTTTACCACCGGGAAGGGTGTTGTTAGGCATGACTTGAAGTGGAGTAAAACCCCCTTCCCTGTGATGAAATCACTGTAATGCACGGCCTCAAGTGGCTTATTGTGTTTATAAAACGGCGGCCAACATGAAATATAATAAAGTACGCAATTCTTCAGAAAATAATTTAAGTTATTAATAATAATAATAATAATCCACATACACAAGTATTGCACCAAGACATGTAGTTCCTTTAGATTACGCTATCATTGCCAAGCAACCGTGGACCGCTGAATGAGAAAAACATTCGGTCACCCATCGCTGTGTTTTGCGGTCATTTCATGAACTTTTTAGCCTTTTTGTCGTATAATAATGAACATATGAAAACACAGCACTGTTTAATGCAGAAACTTTCACTTTATAAATACTTTTTGGTCACCATGAGTCTCATTTAGCACCAGTCCTGCGGCGCCCTCATCTCACGCTGGGGCTGAATCTCAAACAGCTCCCTGCTCCCTACATAGTGCACTACATAGGAGTTTAAATACTGGATCCTGCAGCCCAACAGAGCAAAATACAGCTAAGAAACAGTCATTTGGGATTCAGACTCATCCACACTCGATAAATGATGCCCTGTTTGGCTGTAGAGGCTAGAACCTCTAAACCTTCATAGCAAGAACACTGTTTAGGGAGTACGGAGCCGTTTGGGATTCAGCCTGGATTTGACGCCACTTCTGACTGAAACACGAACATTTGAAGTGTGTAAAACATTAAAGTGACATTTTTAGTCTTTTATACTGAAGTTTTACAGTAAATCATATCATTAGTACTTTAATTCAAGCCTGTGATATTAATGATGGAGCTGTTTAGCATGTTAGCTATCTGTTAGCCTGTTAGCTAGCTGAGCAGCCTAGTTCTAGATAAGAAAATAAGTTGCCAGCCCCTCAGTTTATACGCAAAATGGGTTCTTACTTCATCAGTGGTCCATGCGAGCTGCGTTAGAGTCAAAGATTATTTAGTAATGTCTATTCAGTTGTTGTCAGGTGGTCGGTGTGCGTATATTGTGGATTTTACAGCAGCTTTGAATGCAGCTCAGCCAATCAGATTTCAGGACCAGAACGATCCGTTTTATAACTGTTCTTTTAAACCCATTCGAAGCTCATCTTTCCAGACAGTGTGGCTTAACGTGAAGCTAAGCGTTAGAATGTGGTGCTTCAGAATGAACAATAGTCTGGAGTAGTTTAATCATAACAGTTGTACAGATTTGTTTACAGAGACGGGTCAGTGCGGGACTCTAACAGATTGGTGGACTCCGACTTCTTCATGAGAGGAACTAGAGGTTAAATAATAAAAGCACAAACAGGTCTTCAGGCCATATTGCACCATTTTTTTCCCCTAACAATGAGCTCGGGCTCGGCCAAGCTCGATAAATTAAACTCGTCCAATAGCCCGTGGGAAGCCGTGCTGGCCAGAAAACAATGTTTGCAAACGAGGCGGCTGCAACGGTTTAAATGAGAGCGCGAATGCAAACGACTCGCTCGCGAAATTACATCCTCTGGCAACCGCGTTCCTCCCCGTAACAATAAGTTTGCTTAGCAGCGCAGACGGGCTGTTTAGAACTCACAATGGAGGAGGAGGAGCTCTGGAGAGGACGAGCCGCACGCTGGCCAAAGAGTTTCTGGCCAGCGCTGTCGACAGCTCACCCACAGGATCTAAATCAGGAGGATATATGTAAATCAGAGGAAGTGCCAAACCAGAGATACTGAAAAAAAAAATATTTTTATATATTTAATATGCGTTTCAAACACACTGCGGTTCATGTATTTTAGAATATTAACCAAATATATTTTAAAAATACATTTATTTTAAATTTCTGTGGAAATATTACACACAGACAAAAATAAACGTATGTACGTTTTTATCAAATCCATTTGAAATGTATGAAAACAGCCCAAATCCTGTCTGATGCTCTGTTTACTGTCTGATACCTTTAGAAATGAGTTTGTATTCCAGTATCTTCATTTTAAATCTGATCAAATGATCCTTTAACAGGACAGAAGCGAGTGTTGTAGTATTGATACTCTGTGAAAATGCAGTTATGATCTGATATCTGGTTTATCTGAAGAACATTGTGTGTGAGAGTCTCACTGCAGACGTACCTGGTTAATGTGAAGTCAGTGCTGTTCATTCAGCTCATATACACTCTTGGTTTCTCAAGGGTTCTTTATTAAAGAAAGTGGTTCTGTATAGAACCATGAACACTCAAAGAACCCTTTGCATGATTAAAGGGTTCTTTACATCCTGCACATGTTCTTCAGATTGATGGAAAATGCGCATGAATGTGCTGTAGACAGTTCTATGTAGAACCTTTTTGAAAATGGTTCTGTATAGCACCCAGAGTGTTCTTCTGTTGTTACAAGCATGATATAGAACAAGAGAAGAACCCGTCTGGCTGCTGTGTAGAACCATCTACAGCACGTTCTCCATCAATCTGAAGTAGTTTAAAGTAGTATGTAAATATTATGGTACTGCCTATTTGTCAAAATTCATTCATCACTCCATACAGTCCATATATGGAAACTACAATTAAAAAAAATATTTGAATTGATGTCACAAAAAGTCTAAGTATGAAAAGTTTGTACACCCCAGGTCACATGACACTGATTAAGTTATCTCTTCAGAGAACTCAAATGTGGCATTTATCTGCAATTTTTAGTGCGGAAGTGACACAAAACACCAAATATAAAACGTGCCAACTTTTGCACAGATCAGATTTTATCCTAATGTGTTAAATAAACAGCAAATTAAAGTAACTGTGCTTTAAAATGTGCTCCCCTTATTTTCACTTAGAAAAATCAACAAAACATCGAATTGGAATTTGCTGCATTTATTGAGGTAAATTGATTGAGAAGCTGATGTTGATTAATAATCACCAACTTTCCTAATTCGTTCTCTGTTTAAGGCGCCTCAGTGTAACTGCAGCTCCATTTAAGGTGGAACGGAAAGTTCAGATGAGAAGCTGGTGATTAAGAAGCTACTTCAGCTTTATTTGTGTGTCTGAGTTTATTATTTAAGAGTTTTGGCAGTTTTGCTGCCACTTTTATTAGTTTTTATAAAATATCTCACACTGGAATGTTCTGAACTCTGGAGATGTGCAGGTGATACGGATCCACCGATCTAGATCATCTTCTCCTCGTAGTGTTTCTGGAGACGCATCTAAAGCATCTACATATCTGTTCATGTGTTTGAGGTCATTCTGGTCTGTTGTGTTGGTGTTTATCTCCTGCAGGGCTGTATCTGCAGTAACGGTGATGAGACGAGCTCCATCAGAGCTCAGAGCTACAGCTCACCTGCCAACATGGAGACTTGGACTTCTTAATGACTCAATACAACACTATGAGTAGTGTAGGGTTCCTGCTGAGGTGGGGCATCGAACCCAGTACACTGTACCAACCGCTGAACCTGAGAAGAACTAAAGACGAAGATGTTGGTTTTCATGGTTGTTGTATGTGTTGTGTACATGCAGATAAGGACCCGTCGCAGCGTGGGCGGGGCATCGACAGAGGTGAAGTTGACATCGGCACTCAGCTGGTCCAGGTGATTCCCCCGGGTCAGTTCTGGAGATTCAGCGTGGTGGTCCAACATCCGGAGTACATCCGCTTCAACATCTCACACACACACAACGCTCTGCTGGGAATCTACGGCAGGAGGAACCTGCCACCCACCCACACACAGGTAAGGGGACACACACATACAGTTACACACACTTTTACACAATTATGGTCGTGTGCAAAAGTCTGAGCACCCCTGGTCAAATTCCATGTTGTTATTGATTTTGAAAATATGTTACAAATCCTATACAGAGACAGACTTTTGCACATTTTAATACATAATTACTGTTTATTTACTAAATTTAACATGCTGGGAGGAAAATAAGACATAAAATCTGTCCTGTTAAAACGTTATAGCGTGTTTTATATTTTATATCGCTGTTGTCAGAAAAAACCCTCGTATCTCCAAAGTGGTAACTTTACAGGAGAAGGAAAAAACATACTTTACTCTTAATGTAAGTCAATGGAACCAGAATTTTTTCCAAGTAATTTTGGGCTATTTCTTTTAGTCCATTCAGCATGAAATTTACACACAATCTAATAGGCAACAAGTACTTTCAAATTTTGTCAAAAACTGAAAATGTCAAAAATGGAGATATGAGGTTTTATTCCCACAACAGCGATATATATATATATATATATATATATATATATATTTTTTTTTTTTTTAATCTGTTAAACAGAATTTGTGCACAAAATAGTAAAAATGCAGATTTAAGTGCGTTTCCCGTAGAGGGTGTGCGAACTTATTTTGACTGAAAATATAGAAAATTAACAAAACATATAATTTGACCAAATTTGCATTCAACTGTGTAAACATATGTAGAATTTCAATGGTGCCATACAGTGATTAACAGTGCCAGGCCTTCAGTTTGGCTCATACATGTCAAAACTTTTAATGCAAATTTCTAATTGTATGTCTTTTATACACTTTTTTAGGGACAAAATTAAAAAAAAAACATTAATTTCAATGATAAAAGATGTTTTGAGCCACAATAACACAATATGGGCCATAAACATTACAGACATGTTTATTAATTTATGTTAATTTAACATGTAAGGCTGTATTGAAGACGTGTTTGAATCCATTTTTCCCGTTTACTTGAAAAACACAGCAGCAGAATCATAAGAAACAGAATCAGAGACAGTCCAGAACGGTCAAAACCAAGAAAACTTACAAAAACCCAACAAAAGTACCAAAGAGAGTCCAGGAGTTCTGAGGAAAGTCCGCGTAAACCATGAATCCAGCAGCAGTAGTGATATAAGGCTCAGTGCACAGACCAGCTGGCAGTACTCTGCACAGAGAGCACGTGGTGGTGTAGGTCCTTATAAAGGGAGGTAGATGAGCTGCAGCAAAGAACCCTTTGCATGATTAAAGGGTTCTTCACATCGTGAAAGAGTTCTTCAGATTGATGGAGAATGTGCTTAGGATTGTTCTATATAGAACATTTGTGAAAAAAGTTCTAAATAGCACCACGAAGGGTTTTTCTATTGTAACAAGCCTGACATCGTAACAAAAGAAGAACGTTTTTGGTGCTTTATAGAACCCTTTTCAAAAAGGTTCTATGTAGAACCATCTACAGCACCTTCTCCATCAATCTGGAGAACGCTTTCACAACGCAAAGAACCTTTTTCAAAAAGTTTCTCTATAGAACCATCTACAGCACATTCACTATCCATCTGATGAACCTGTTCACGATACAAAGAACCCTTTAATCATGCAAAGGGTTCTTTGAGGGTTCATGGTTCTATATGGATTCATTTTCTTTGCTAAAGAACCCCTGAAAATCTGTGGATTTTAGCCGACTACAAACTCACCAAACAACAGTACATAACATCACTAAAACAGTGTTTGTCTCTATATTTATAGATGACTTAAAAAAGATTCCTTGTGGGTTCCTTAGTAAAGACAATGGTTCTGTTTAGAACCATGAGTTCACCCTTTGCATGCTTAAATTTTTCTTTGCATGATCAAACGGTTCTTCAGATCAATTCAATTCAGTTCAGTTCAGAACCATCAGCCAACTGTGTTTGCACACTGTGGAATTAGACCTCTGCATTTGCATACATGCACACTAGTGAACACACACTAGGGGGCAGTGAGCACACTTGCCCGGTGGGCAGCCCTTATCCACAGCTTGATTGAGAATGTGCTGTAGATGGTTCTGTAAAGCACTTTTTTGGAAATGGTTCTAAATAGCACCAAAAAGCGTTCTGCTATTGTTATGATGTCAAGCCTTTAACAACAGAAGAATCCTTTTTGGTGCTATTTAGAACCAGATCCAGCACATTTCCCCATCAATCTGAAGAACCAGAACCAATTAAGCATGCAAATGGTTCTATATGGAACTCATGGTTCTTAACAGAACCATTCTCTTTGCTAAAGAACCCTTGAAGAACCGTGTTTTTAAGCGTGTAGTGTGGAACTTCGTAAGTCTATAAGAGAGTAAGAGATTATTTCATGACGGTTTGAAGTGAGTTTTCAGATGTTTTGTTTAGGCATGCAGTTAGCACTATGCTAACTGGCTAATTCCTTCCCTTGTTAGCTACATTAGCCTTGTAGCTCCACTAAGCAGCAAACTTCGGACAACAGACATGACTTCGCTGACCGACTACAAGCGGACTTTCGCTTTAACTTTGTGGTCCAGTTTAGGTTTTTTTGTTTAATTGATCGCTTTGCTACTAGAATCAGAGTAAGACCTCACGATTCTAGTCTGTATAGCTGTGTGTTATTTTGCTCTCTCTCTCTCTCTCTCTCTCTCTCTCTCTCTCTCTCTCTCTCTCTCTCTCTCCGTCTCTCTCTCTTTGTCTCTCTCTCCGAATCCTCCTCACGCTCTGGCTCAGAGCTTCTCCCTCGTTCCAGCCGGAACGTTCCAGAAGCCGGATGATTAGTCCAACGCGATTGCGTCTGTAATGATTTGGCATGGGACGACCTCTAGCCGCTAATTAAAGCTCGTTAGCGTGGATATCATCCCAGATTAACTATTCACATCACTCAGGAAATTACAACCTTGTATAATTCAATTTTAAGCCTCTTGTTGCGCCGTTTGCGTGCGCGTTTGCATGTGTGGGCGGCGGAAGCGAAAGAGAACGGCTTAATTACGGCCTGCTAATGAAACTGGATCCGAATGTGCGCGTAAGAGAGAGAGGGTTATTAATAAACACACCCACACGCTTCCACGTGTCTTTTTGCACGGTCCTACGTGTGAATCTGTTCTGTTTGTTCCAGTGTAAAGACTGCAGTATGACCCGTCTATATCAGGGATGGATTACCGACCAGCTCATGGGGGCCTCTGACTGTCAGGGGCCCTCGGGGACCCTTTGAGACATGTGACAGTCATTAGCTGAACGTGTAGCCCTTGAATATGTATATATGGCTAAATAAATGAGATAAATGAAATTTATCTGTCGTCAGGCAGCTCATGTTATTCTTAGCTCTATTAATTATCGACTGTATTGTTGTTTTCTTGTGGTTGTAGTTGTGATACAGAACGAAAGAACAAAAAAGGTAACCGATAAAGTTGATTATTCAAAAAATAAACAAGGAAAAAGCAAGACAGATGGGGGGGCGTATTTATTTTTATTTAGCGTAGCTGGTACGCATGTTGACGTCAAAGTACGCTGGTACAATTTGTCACTCTAAACTACGCTAAAAGCTGGTGATACCTGTGAGTTCAGTACCATAGAACCATTGGGTGGGATGATGTAACGACATAACGTAAGAGCACAGTGTCCTGTACACTTCAGTGCTTCAGTATTCCTTACACTTAAGTATTCCGTACGCTTCAGTATTCCGTACGCTTCAGTATTTCATATGCTTTAGTATTCTGTACGCTTCAGTATTTCATATGCTTTAGTATTCTGTACGCTTCAGTATTCCGTACACTTTAGTATTCCGTACGCTTGAGCATTCCATACACTTCAGTATTCCGTACGCTTCAATATTCCCTAGGCTTCAGTATTCCGTATGCTTCAGTATTCCGTACACTTTAGTATTCCGTACGCTTCAGCATTCCATACACTTCAGTATTCCCTACGCTTCAGTATTCCGTACACTTCAGTATTCCCTAGGCTTCAGTATTCCCTAGGCTTCAGTATTTCGTATGCTTCAGTATTCCGTACGCTTCAGTATTCCGTACGCTTCAGTATTCCGTACACTTCAGTATTTCGTACGCTTCTGTATTCCGTACGCTTCAGTATTCCGTACACTACAGTATTTTGTACGCTTCAGTATTCCGTACACTTCAGTATTCCCTATGCTTCAGTATTCCGTACACTTCAGTATTCCGTACGCTTCAGTATTTCGTACGCTTCTGTATTCCGTACGCTTCAGTATTTCCTATGCTTCAGTATTTTGTACGCTTCAGTATTTTGTACACTTCAATACTTTGTACGCTTCAGTATTCCGTACACTTCAGTATTCCGTACGCTTCAGTATTCCGTACGCTTCAGTATTTTGTACACTTCAGTATTCCGTACGCTTCAGTATTCCGTACACTTCAGTATTCCGTACACTTCAGTATTCCGTATGCTTCAGTATTTCGTACACTTCAGTATTCCGTACACTTGTAATTGTTTCTATTTGTGTAATAACTACCACTTTCTTGTCATCTATCAACGATACACCCAAGACATTGAGTACGTTTACATGCACTTAATAACCTGATAACTACAGAAAATCAGATTTTGTCAGTAATCCGATCAACATGTTTACATGCACTTGAGTAATCAGATAATAGGGAAACTCTAGGTCTACATGAGTCAGACAGTAATCAGATGCTGCAGCTTTTTTTTTAAACATCACACCACTTTACATGAAAATATGAACGTACCTCATCTAGAAGATGAAGAATATTTAAATCCTTCATTTCGTTAAGCATGTATTTGGTTTCAGCGTCGCTCCAAAAGTGGAGACGCTGCGTCTCACGGCTGTTCGCTTATTTCTGGTACCGCCGTCTGTTTTTGCACATGCTCAGACTGAGAAATCTGAAAGAAATCAGAGTAAGAGTTCTAGATCGGAGTATGCTGTTTACATGACCATTTAAAAAAATCAGCTACCTGCAGAAATCCAGTTATGATCAGATCATTGATTACATGTAAACACACTCATTGTCATGTATCCTTGTTTCCATGACCTCCCCCAGCGTGACCCGAAAATGGTGGGTGGGGAAACACAGGGATGCGAATGTAAATAGGGTGGGAAAACTTTCACAGCCAGTACATTTAAACATGATATTTAACCCTCCAGTGAATATTTAACAGTAGAGTAACACTGTGAAACGCAGGATGTTCAGGACTGAGCTGTTAATCTGAGTTTACACCGTCAGCTGAGTTACCTTAGCAGCTTCACGCCACTGCCTCACTTTACCAGGCCTTTTTTCCCATGGTAGCCTCATTTATTTCACATGTTGTTTTCATTAATTCATAAATAAATAATAATAAAAAATAATAAAGTTGAATCAAATATAATCTAGAACAAAAGTGACGAAGCGCTGCAGAGGTCACAAAAATGAAGCAAAAACACAGGTGTACCTGGACCGTGGGTGCAGCAGACTCAGAGTAGACTGCCGTGCTGGGAGTGGCAAAAAACAAAATTCATCCACGTCCACAAAGCATGTGCAAAATAAATCCCAGAGCAAAGAAATTCACCTTTATTGAAACATGGCAGTATGTGCTGACGTGTTGTGGCCTTCTCAGGCCTTCATCAGGACACAAAATAATGGCTCTGAGCATCAGAGAACACCCAGGTGTTGGTCAGGAAGAAAAGAAAAAAGGGGGAAAAATATATACTGTCGGAATAAAACCTCCAAAATTACAACTTTACAGGAGAAGGAAAAAACATACTTTACTTTTAATGTAAGTCAATGGAACCAGAATTTTTCCAAGTCATTTTGGGACGTTTCTTTTAGTCCATTCAGCATGAAATTTACATACATGACAGGTATTTTGAAATTATGTAAAAAACTGAAAAATGTGTGTGTGTATATATATATATATATATATATAGCCATGTTTTAATTAAGGCTTTTTAGATAGATAGATAGAAATAAAATAGGAATAAAAACAGACATAATTTAGGCAGAAATAGAAAAATAAACATAAACTATGAAAGAGTAGGAATAAAAGTATAAAAGTATATCTGCAGCATATTTACATAGCATATAAGACAGATTTGTTGTATTTCCATGAGAGCAGGTATTGCGCTAAGAGGTGGTTACAACACAATGAATATAAACATAACTCTCAGCAGTGTTTACAGTGTTAAGTGCGCAGTGAGAGTGATTACAGTAGCAGTTATGATGTATTACACAGTGTGTATTAACAGGAGAGGTTCAGACAGCAGGAGATCAGCACCCTCTCTGCAGAAAGGAGGCTCGTTGTAGAGCCTTTATGCTTTTCTAAGATGGTGTGTTCAGGAATTTCTTTGCTCTGGGATTTATTTTGCACATGCTTTGTGGATGCGTTTTCCCACTCCCAGCATGGAATTGTCACTTTGACTGTTCTAATCTAATAAAAATAACGCACTGTATAATTACATAACACACCCTCCTGTCTCTCCTCTCTAGTTCGACTTTGTGAAGCTGCTGGATGGGAAGCTGAAGCAGGAATCTCGGAATCCTGACATTCCCAAGGTTTCTGCATCAAATGGTTTACTGAGTGCCCTCCAGGAAACGGTGTTTATGGAATATCTGGACCTGGGCACCTGGCACCTGGCCTTCTACAACGACGGGCGCAAAATGGAGCAGGTGCTGGTGCACAGCACCGCTATCGGTGAGAGAACCCGCACACATACAAACATAACAAGGTCTAGACAACAAAACAACAAAGATAATTACTGGAAAACAACATTTATACACTGACAAAGCACATTTATTATATAGCCTTATGTTCTAGATATTATTCAGCTAAGTGTGAGGTACAAACTCCAAACTGCTGCACTGTTAAAGATTCTCTAGGGTTCTCTAGTAAAGAAAATGGTTCTGTATAGAGTCATGAACACTCAAAGAACCCTTTAAGTATGTAAAAGCATGTTCACCTCTCCATGATGAAATGGTCCTTCAGATTGATAGAGGATATGTTGTATATGGTTCTATATAGCACCAAAAACCTCTTAGTCATTTCATGTTATTTTAGTTAGATTGTCTTGATGCCATTTGATCCAAAGTAATTACGCACCACTTTGGAGTTTATGAGCCTCACTTAATCAGTTAATATCTAGAACCTGTTAGTTTTTTATGTTATTTTAGTTAGACTGTTTTGATACTATCTGACCCAAATTAATTATTTCGTTCTTTGGAGTTTATAACCACTTAATCAGTCAATATCTAGAACATGTTAGTGTCATTTAGTTAAACCGACTTGGAACTTTTTACCCAAAATTATTACACAGTACTGTGGAGTTTGTGCCCTACACTTAGCTGGTTAATAGCTAGAACAAAGGGGACTATAAAAGAAAGCATTACTGCACATTTGAGATATTATCAATGACATGATAATGTTGTGATGTTGTTCTGCTACAAAGTTTTTCATTCAAATTTATAATAGAAATGCAGTATATACAGTGTCAGTTTATTTGTATGTTTGCATTTGAGTTTCCCCTCATTTATGCAATATTGAGTTCAAAATGAAGAGTGAAATTTAATTCTGATTTTAATTTGCTGTTTGGTTCGCTAGCATTGACATTTTATTTACGCAAGGATTTAGATGCTTCATAGTAGATTTACTTAAATTAAAATGTATTTCCAGAACTGCATATTTATTCTTACTGTGATTATTCAGTAATTGCGTCAAATGATTATTAAATTGTAATTTTGTATGCATTTTCCCTCTGATATAGAACTTTTAAAGGTACGTTCGTGTTTACGTTGTGTTTATGTGTAGAAATGATGGACGGTTGCTCCACTAACTGTAACGGGAACGGTGAATGTGTTGCTGGTCACTGCCATTGTTTCACCGGCTTCCTCGGACCGGACTGTTCCAAAGGTACAACAACACAACAACACAGTGGCCCAAATTCAGGGGGGACATTTAGGGGCAACGTCCCACCAACAAATCATCATGTCCCGCGATTTTGTACGTTTCTACAGAGGCAAGCACAAAACAGTCAAAGTGAGACTAAATTTAGTGTGTCCTGCTAAAAATCAGGGCTAAAGTCGTCCAGTGTAACCCAATTTTAGACTATATTGTTTATACAGTCTGTTCTACAGTTTCTCATTAGGTTGAATGAATAATTGACTCTAAATGTAGGTATTGTGATATAAACTGAGTCTGTTCTACAGTTTCTCATTAGGTTGAATGAATAACTGACTCTAAATGTAGGTATTGTGATATAAACTGAGTCTGTTCTACAGTTTCTCATTAGGTTGAATGAATAACCGACTCTAAATGTAGGTATTGTGATATAAACTGAGTCTGTTCTACAGTTTCTCATTAGGTTGAATGAATAACTGACTCTAAATGTAGGTATTGTGATATAAACTGAGTCTGTTCTACAGTTTCTCATTAGGTTGAATGAATAACCGACTCTAAATGTAGGTATTGTGATATAAACTGAGTCTGTTCTACAGTTTCTCATTAGGTTGAATGAGTAACTGGCTCTAAATGTAGGTATTGTGATATAAACTGAGCTGTGTGTGTGTTTGTGTGTGTGTGTGTGTGTGTGTGTGTGTGTGTCAGACTCATGCCCCGTGCTGTGCAGCGGTAACGGCGAGTATGAGAAGGGGGTGTGTGTGTGTCGTGTAGGCTGGAAGGGGGCAGAGTGTGAGGTGGAGGACGGGCAGTGTATCGACCCCACCTGCTCCAACAACGGGGAGTGTGTCGACGGAACCTGTGTGTGCGCACCCGCCTTCAAAGGAGTCAACTGTGAGGAAGGTGTGTGAGGAACACACACACACAGTGTACACACTGTATACCCACTGTATTTTTCTGTACATTTCAATCCATAAACAGTGGTTATGTATTAAAAAGTGCAGAAGTGTGTCTCTGTAGAGGATGCCTTCACTTATTCACAGCATGTAAATTGACTGGGGGCGCACAAACTTTTGCACAGCACTGTATATCGCTGCTGTTGGAACAAAAACCTTCTATTACATTTATTTGAAATTATATTTAAAAAGCACTGAGCATTGTTTATTGCACAGAAAAAAGAGTAATATTGGAATAAATACAGGTAACATTAAAGAGCCCATATCCTACATTTTTCTTGACTGATAGATGTAAATGAGCTCTGTTCTGATTGGCTGCCCTGTATTGTACATTCAAAAAGCAGTCGAGGCTGAAAGCCTCCTTATAACTTCAGAGCGAGTGGGCGGGGTTAAACTGCAGTCGGCTTAATAAGCCGATGTATGTAAATGTGTAGGTGTTTGTGACATCACAAAAAATGATTTCACATCGGGCTGTTTTTGCAGCTTAGGTTCCCTATATGGATTTGTATGGACTGTGGAGTAAATAGTAAATTTGTAACTTTAACAATGCAACTTCTTTATTTTAAAAAAGAATTTTATCCCAAACATGGAATATGAGCCCTTTAATATAGGTAGAGATTTTATGTATGTCGTTGTCTTTATTTAATTTCCAGGCCTCCCTTTGTGACAGAGCTGTATTATTTGTATTAATTGGCCAATCAGTGCTTCATTATGTTCAGTAAAATGTGCTGCTGATGGATTTTAAAAAATATGTTATTCTAAATAGCTCTGAACATTAATATATGTGTTTATTTGCATTTATTATGATGATATGTGGTGTTTCTACACAGTTCCACTGATCAGATAATCAGTTTTAAACAGTGGACTTTGGTGCCAAAGACGTGTGTGTGTGTGTATGAGTGCGAGTGTGTGTGTGTGTGTATGAGTGCGAGTGTGTGTGTGTGTGTGTATGAGTGCAGTTGTTTGTGTGTGTGTGGACCAGGTTTATGCCACGTTGTGGGGACCAAAACCTGTTTATACACTCATTTTGTGGGACCTTTCTTCCTTGTGGGGACCACGAGCTTGTCCCCACAATGTATATCATTAAATTTTCAGGTGAAGTTAAGGTTAGTGTGAGTGTGAGGTTTAGGCTAGTAGTAGTTCTGGTTAAGATGTGAGTAAGTCTCCAGGAAGTGAATGGAAGTCTATGTAATGGCCCCACCATTCATAGAAACTACATTGAGTGTTTGAGTTTGTGTGTGTATGAGTGTGTGGACCAGGTTTATGCCACATTGTGGGGACCAAAAGCTGTTAATACACTCACTTTGTGGGGACCTTTCTTCCTTGTGGGGACCACAAGCTTGTCCCCACAATGTATATCATTAAAACTTAAGGTGAGGATTAGGGTGACAGTGAGAGTTAGTGTGGATGATGAGGTTCAGGCTAGTAGTAGGTCTGGTTAAGGTTTAAGTAAGTCTCCAGGAAAGTGAATGGAAGTCTATGTAACATTTCATAGAAACTAGATTGAGTGTTTGTGTGTGTATGAGTGTGAGTGTCTATGGACCAGGTGTGTGCCACATTGTGGGGACCAAAAGCTGTGTATGCACTCCCTTTGTTCCTGTTTAAAACTGATTATCACTTTTCGTCCTTGTGGGGACCACAAGCTTGTCAAGTGAATGGAAGTCTATCTAATGGCCCCACAATTCATAGAAACAGGATTGGGTGTTTGTGTGTGTGTGTTAACCCAATCTAGCATTTAATTTTGTTTATGTAGACTAGATAAATGCATCTGAGAGATGTTTAAGAGAGAGAGAGAGAGAGAGAGAGAGAGATTGATGAATAGAGAAAAGGCCATTGTGTTTTTTTCTATTATGGCTCTTGTTCATGTAAAAGTAAATTAGACTGTCCATCACCCATCTACACCAGATAATACCTCAGATGTTACTGTAGTAATTAATAATTATTTACAGCCCCCCTATTCTCTCTCTCTCTCTCTCTCTCTCTCTCTCTCTCCCTCTCTCTCTCCCTCTCTCTCATTCTGAATAATTGTAAATTAGCCCACTCCAAATGTAGTTAATCAGTCTAGATAGGAAGCATAAACACCTCCACCCAATTAGCATGGTGCTAACTGCATATTTAAATCATCGTATACCCGCCGACTGTGCGAAGGTGTTGGGTGTCTTTAATAGTCTTTGTTATGTGGTTTCTGCCACTGTATGACTCACTGTAAACATGGACTAAATCCAATTCATTTCAAGCCAACAGAACTTTAATTATCCCAGAACAGTAACTGGGAGCAGGCAGGAACATACATAACATGAATTAATGAAAATAATAAAGACACATAAACAGCAGGCCACCCGGAACGTTATAATGCCTTAAAGCCATACGGTTCTCCGTACAGAGTCCACGGCTGCTGTTTCCTCTCAGATAAAAGAAAACCAGTGGGAAATACACCAACCAGACGGAACCCGTTTGTCTTTTATGATTTAAAGTTAATACTCATAGTTTGTTCTCTTACTGTTTCATCACCTGTGTGTGCAGCACGTTGAGCTGCCGTCGGTGCAAAATCAGAATAAAAACAGAAAGCAGTGATGTGCGAATCATTTAAACCCTATACTATTAAGAAAAGATGGTTCTTCAAGGGTTCTTTAGTAAGGAAATGGTTATATAAAGAACCTTGATCAGTCAAAGAACCCTCTGCATGATTAGAGTTCTTTGCATCATGACAGAGTTCTTCAAAATGATGCAGAGTGTGCTGTAGATGGTTCTATATAGACTCTTTTCAAAAAGGGTTCTCTATAGCACCAAAAAGGGTTCCTATATTGTTACAAGCTTGACATCATAACAGTAGAAGAACCCTTTTGGGTGCTATATAGAACGCTTTTTCAAAAATGTTCTATATAGAACCATCTACAGCACATTCTGAGGAACGCTTCCATGATGCAAAGAACTCTTTAATCATGCAAAGAGTTCTTTGAGTATTCATGGTTCTCTATATAGCTATTTTCCTTACTAAAGAACCTTGAAAAACCATCTTTTTTAAGAGTGTAGATTTTAAATGATTTGCACATCATTGCCTTCTGTTTTTATTCTTATTTTGCACGGCGTCACAACCTTTTTGGAAACAGGGTTGTAAATAATAATAATAATAATAATAATTATTATTATTATTATTATTGATGGTATTATTATTATTATTATTATTGTTATTGTTATTGTTATTACTGTTATTGTTATTATAATTATTATTATTGTTATTGTTATTGTTATTATTGTTATTATTATTATTATTATTTTTATTATTATTATTATTTTTATTTTTATTATTGTTGTTGTTGTTGTTGTTATTGTTATTATTATTATTACAATGGTGTCAGAAATCACATGACCAAGCCTGTTAGAGATAAAGAACCTATACATACACTTTGAGATGAGTGTGAGATGATTTTAGCATGCGATTAGCATCATGCTAATTGGTGGTTATAAGCTCATTAGCTATGTTAGCCTCGTATCTCCAGAGCTAAAACCTAAGTACTGATTTTGTTTGTGTATGTGTGTTTGTGTGTGTGTGTTCAGTGGACTGTGTTGACCCGTCGTGTTCGGGGCGGGGTGTGTGTGTGCGGGGTGAGTGTGTGTGTTCTGCAGGGTGGGGGGGTGAGGTGTGTGAGACCCCTCTGCCGGCGTGTAAAGAGCAGTGTTCCAGACACGGCACGTACCAGCCTCAGACCGGAGTGTGTGTGTGTGAGCAGGGCTGGACGGGAACAGACTGCTCCACAGGTGAGCTACACACACACACACACACTCGCATGTACACACTCCCTCAGATCCTCATTAGTTCTTCTACCTGTAGCTGTTTATGTTAGCAGATGTGGTGAAGCTCAGCTGGAGCTCCAACACCTGAAACAGCTCAGGGAGCAGATAATTAACACACACAGCAGATCAGTTTGAGCAGAGAATAGAATTATTACTAATCCAATAATGTCACAGTCGCGCTGCCACCATTTTGGTATCAACATCAAGTTCCCTCAGCAGAGCTGAGTCTGTCTGTAATGAGGTGAAGCCATAACTGATCCAGCAAAGTCAGTAAAACACTTGAAAAACTTTTAAATCTCATTTTAAAGCGTATTAACTGATATATTTGAGTGTATTGGCTTGATTTTATTTGATTGGTTGCTGTAGTGATTAACAAATGAAAGCTGAAATCTAAACGGCTGAGATTTCCCGCTGCGTTACTGGCGCCCCGTCCCAAACCGCACACTAGCCCACTAAATAGTGTGTAAAAATAGTGCATATCCCATTAGAAGTGCTCTCATTAGTGTAGTAGGTGAAGTACAGAAGAGTGTGGTTTGGGATGCGGCGTTAGATCAGCCAATGAGACGCGTTCAACAGCTGCTCTGCTGAGCTGCTCGTTAGCTGCTCATTAAACACCTCCAAGAGGAAGTTTGTTGATCAAGAAGCTTTTATTGAGGTAATTTAATGTATTTAAGTAAATTAATACATTTATTGAGGTAAATTAATATGGTGATGAGATGAGCTCTATCAGATTTACAGCTCGTCTACCAACATGGAGGCGTGGTCTTAATGACGTAATACAGTACTGTTAATATGTGATCTGCAGGCAGCTTAAAGGTGATCGAATAGTCATTTGCAGGTGATCTATGTGATTAATACATGGCCTACAGGTGATTTACGGTTAGTCTCAAAGTACTTAGGTAGGTAATTCATCAAAATATTATTTGCAGGTGATCTGTCTGTGATCTGCAGGCAGTTTGTTATCTGTAGCTGATTATTTTTGGGTGATCTCTTTGAAAGCTTTAATCTGTGGGTGGTTCGTAGGACTGTGAGAAACACAGAGAGACTTGCGTTTGTAGCGTTTATCCTCTCAGTGATTTTCGTGGCTCTGCAGACTCTCTGAAAGTGATTGTGTAGCTCTGAGTTCATCTGCTGACTGAAACCCACCAAACACAGTTACTATCGACTTACACAGAAAGAAAAACCCTGAAAAACCCACTTTCCTCCTTAAACGCCGTTACCGGAGTAGCTGCACTGAAAGACGAGGCCACGGATGTGATTGATCAGTGATTAGATGTAATGAGGTATGTATTGATCAGTGATTATGGGTAATGTAGTATGTATTGAAGAAAATGACGCACTTTCTCAAAGTGAAGAAGAAATCTTCCAGAAACCGATGAAGAGTTTTCCTGTAGTTTTTTATTTATTTATTTTTTTTAAGTTAAAAAATCTGATTGATTTTACAGCAGCACAAAAGAGGACAGGGATCAGAGAGAGAGAGAGAGAGAGAGAGAGAGAGAGAGAGAGGGCCTAAAAGAGACGGTGTTGTGAGTGGATTTCATTCTTGGTCAAACTGCTTTAATAATAATAATAATAATAAAATTTTATTTGATAAGCGCCTTTCAAAACACCCAAGGACACTGTACAATAAAATAACAAAGATAAAAAAGATAAAACCACTAAAAATAATATTAATAAAAAAAAAATAAAAAAAAAATTCTCTTAGAAACCCGAAATTTTCTGCTAACTGACATCTACAAGTGTGACGGCATCCAAAGCAGTATAGTTTTGGACCGGCTGAGAATGGTTGACCAAAAAGATCACACCAAGAGCAAGAAGGCTAATGGACAATGTTTTGTGGATGAATGAGAACAAAACGGATCTTTTTGGTTTAAATGAGAAACGTTATGTTTGGGGAAAGGAAAACACTGCATTCCAGTATAAAAACCTTATCCCATCTGTGAAACATGGTGGTGGTAGTATCATGGTTTGGGCCTGTTCTACCAAAGGTCCAGCAGCTGAGTGTGGTTCAAAATTACTGTCACCTCAACCAAAAGACCCATTTCCCACGTAAATAAAACCCCCCAGAACATCACAGAACCTCCAGCGTGAACCACACCTTGCATGCAGTCCTCATTGAAGTGGTTAAAGAACCAAGACTAAAGTTGATGGAATGGTCAAGTTAAACTCCTGACTTTCATCCTATAGAAATGTTGCAGAAGGGCCTGAAGCAGCAGTTCGTCAGAGGAGTTGTGGAGTTTTTGATGTTGGTGAAAGAGTAAATGACGTTGTTCGTCACTGTGCTTAGTAGCGTCACAGAGCAGTTGATGTTGGTGATGAGGTGTAAATAAAGTTGTTGTTCTTTTAGTTGTTTATGCATCTCAGAGTTTTGAAAACTGGCTGTAAGAACTCCTTGGTCAAGTTCTTCTATTTCAAGTTATTAAGTTCTATGAAAATCTGCAATATGTATTGTTACCATCTATGTACAGGTAGATAGAAGACCACTTTAAAGATGTTGAGATGACTAAAAAAGACTTTGTATGTCTATGTAAATACAAACAAGCAAATAAACACAGAGAGAGAGAGCGAGAGAGAGACAGAATGAGACAGAGTTAGAGAGAGAGAGAGAGATAGAATCAGACCGTGAGAGAGAGAGTAAAAATAGAGAGAGAGTGGGTAACAGAAAGTAGAGAGATAGAGGCAGTGGGGAGGAGTGAGAGAGAAAAGAAAGTGACAGAATGAGAGAAAGAGAGAGTGAGTGATAGAGAAAGTAGAGAGAATTAGAGAAAGAGAGAGAGAGAGAGACAGAATGAGAAAGAGAGTTGAGAGAGACAGCGAGAGAGAGAGAGAGTAGAGAGAGATGGAATGGGAGAGAGAATGAGAGAGACTGAGCAAGAGAGAGAGTAAAAATAGAGAATAGGTAACAGAAAGTAGAGAGATAGAGGCAGTGAGGAGGAGCGAGAGAGAAAAGAAAGTGACAGAATGAGAGAAAGAGAGAGAATAAGGGAGGCAAATAGGATAAAAGAAAGCAACAAGAAGATGAAAGAGAAAATCAAGATAAATGAAGGGAGTGAAGAAAAAGAGAAGAATTAAGTAAGATTGAGAAGAGAGAAAGAGAGAAGAGAGAAAGATTGAGGTGAATAAGTAAGATTGAAAGTGCAAAAGTGAAAAAGTGAAAAATACAGTGTAGATTTAAAGAAGAAAGAAAAAATTAACAGACAAAAAAGAAGTGATAGAAAGTGTGAAAGTGAGAGAGAAAAAAGAGGGAAACTATAGAAGGGAGAGAAGAAGAAAAAGGGAAAAGAAGAAGTGAGAAGAGAGAAAGGGTGTGGAGAAACGAGTGAGGACGAGAGATGAAAGAAAGAACATAGAAGGGAAAAGAGAGAGAGAAAGAAAGGGAGTGGAGAGAAGAGGTTGAAGAGGAGAGAGAGAGAGAGAAAGACATGATGAACGGAAAGAGAGTCGTAAGAAAAAGACGTTAAGATATTATGCAGGTATTAAAATTGTAATATCGTGATTAAATATGATGAATATTTAAATGCGAGGAAGGTTCTGCTGCGTTGTGATTGGTCAGCCGGATCGCCGGAGGCTTATGACGGGCCAGCGGCTACAACCAGGATATTATTATTCATCTATTATTATTCATCTTTTACCCATTAAATTCAGAAGCGCATGAATATTAAAGCCCCTCAGCCGCCCGATCGAGCGTCCACCGCAGTTTAAGCGACTCTGTCCGTATTAATAAACACTTCGTTCTAATTTCTGCTGCCGTTCGGAGACGTTTCCTCACGGCCGGGTTGATGGACAGATGATCTGAGAAAGAAAATGTTTTAGTTGTAAACGAAGATCAAAGGATTTCGAGAAACTGATTTTAATGAGCAGTTAATGATGTAGAAATGGAGCGATACATTAAGCTCAACCGAAAACATGAAAAATGACGCGTTATTACTGTTCAGAATGATTATTCTTCCTCTCGTTTTTCTCCCCTTTTTCTTTTCTGCCCTTTTCTTTTTCCCTCGTTCCCGCTCTCCTGTGCTTTGATTTGTATTCATCGGTAATCTGTTTAATGCCTAATTTTTTCGTTCATAACGAAAGTGGCCACTTTGTCAGAAACACTCACCTTGTGCTTCTACTAACTGGCCACTTTATTAGAAACACCCACCTTGTGCTTCTACTAACTGGCCACTTTATTAGAAACACCCACCTTGTGTTTCTACTAACTGGCCACTTTATTAGAAACACCTTGTACTGCCACTACCTGGCCACTTTATTAGAAACACCCACCTTGTGCTTCCACTAACTGTCCGTTCTCTCCCCCTCTCCCTCCCTCTTCCTCCCTCTCTCTCTCTCTCCCTCTCTCTCTCTCTTTCTCTTGACAGAGTTGTGCCCGCTGCCCTGTAGCGTCCACGGCGTGTGCGTTGGTGGGCAGTGCCAGTGTGAGGATGGGTGGGAGGGGCCTGTCTGTGACAAACAGGCCTGCCATCCAGTGTGTGAAGAGCACGGAGAGTGTAAGGACGGGCAGTGTGTGTGTCACCCCGGCTGGGAAGGAGAGCACTGCACGATCGGTAAGAGTGCGCACGCTTTGATCTCATAAACAATCAACAAGTAAACAATAAGTATTTAAAGCGCAGCCTGACAGCTTCACGTTGTTTTATGACTGTGGAAATGTTTGTTCTGATGGCGATCGTATCCCAGAATCCCTTAACTCTGACATCTCACCTGGAGAGTCACCGTCTCTCAGAATATTAGTGAGGCAAAATAGTCCCCAAAGAAAACTTATTGTTTCAGATTTTCCTCTATTTTCCATCATCATCATTCCATATAAACTCAGAAGACTCGTGTAGGTTCACTGGTGGTTCTGGATAGTAAATAAAATGTCTATATCTGTGTTGTAGTCATGGCGACCCCTGGTTCCTATCACCACCACTGTAAAGACATCTGAACCATTTCACACCAAACCACTCTGAATCT